CGTGTCAAGCCCCTTATCCACAGAGGACAAAGCAGCTGCCAGCTGTCAGTACTGATGTCTGCTCCAAAATTCCTGGTAAAGCAACTTTCTTTCTTGCAGGAACACCAATAATACTCTAGAAGCCTGGCTGATGAGATTGCCTGGGAAGGTGTTGTGCTAATTATAAAAAGGAGATGGTGGAAATGAGGAACAAATCTGTTTTTATTGAATGCACAAGGTGTTAAAAACTAAGAATACGGAATACAGAAAATTCTGTACTTCAGAAATTGTGTAGCAAAGGATGCATTTTATTTATACAGTTTGGGCTTGTTTGGTAACTCCTGGAATCTAGAGGGAATGTTGGATAAGAAATGCTGTAATTTCTGCTTATATCTCCTGTGTATAGGTACATATGTCAAAAGAAATGGGCAAAGGAACTATGGTATTACTGGATAATCCCTGATGGTATTTTATAAGTTGTTGGAAACTCAGGAGTAAATGATACCAAACATTTAAGCACAGACATGATGTTCAAGAAAGGACAGGACACGGCATTTAGCACCAGGGTCTAGTGGACAAGGTGGTGATCAGTCAAAGGTTGGACTTGATGATCTCAGAGGTCTTTTCCAACCTAAATGATTCTGATTTTGAAAGAGAAACCCCAGTTCAGTGCGTGCTGGGAGCACCAGTGACACTAGAGGTCAGCATGGGAGCATCTACATTTGCATTTTAGGCTGGGCTGGGATTGTGCTCTGCAAGTGCTGCTTCTGCTGCAGCCCCCAAGACTGAGACACCAGAGTTTGGACTCGGATTCCTTCATGGAAAAATGGGTTCTTGAACGACTGTTAAATGGTCATTCGGGCCACATGTCCTGATTAGATCTAGAACTAAACTCCCAGGACTCATATGGCTACTGCACCTGCTAATAAGGTGTATCCCAGGGCCATGGGGTGGGGGAATGCACAGAGGGGGCTAAGGAATGAAAAATCATCCTAGGACAATATTAAAAATGAGGCTGGAACTCAAGGAAAGGTACACTGAGGAGGCCAAGAGTTGAAAGACAGCAAGAATTACTTAGACACACTGACCCTGCCTTCATTTCAGTAGCATTTGTAAAATCTAAGAGTTCTCCAGGCACATTAGGGAGGAAGGAATAAAAAATTATAAAGTCAGACTGCAGTTAAAGATAACTATTTGCTTGAAAATGAATGCCTCATCTCAGTTATGAGCAATCAGATAATCTATAGCTCTGAATTCTGAAGGACATGGAGCATAAAATCACAAGTCTAACAGAGAACATTTTTGTAGTAAGTCTCTGAAGTTGGAGTAATACCCTGTGATGGAAGAAGAGCAAAGGGAAACATCTAAATTTAGGTAGGAGAAACTTTTTTTTCAATTTGCCCAGAACATTTTAGCAAAAAAAAAGAAAGGAAAAAAAAGGTATGTTTTAACACATTTAGGCATACAAAGACATTAAAGGATGGAATTGACTCATTACTGAACAACACAGGAAAACTGTCAGGGCAGAAAGAGTAAATATGTAACATTTGAATTCTGTGTTTGTGCAGGAAAAAAGCAAGATGTACTAATCTCATCTGAAGGAACACTCTCACTTGAAGATAATACTGGAAAATGTTAAAAGCACTTTTAAAATGAGATAGTACAAAGGTTTGGTGTGCAAGGATTTTTTAAAAGCAGGCAAAAGAATTTAGCAGATCAAAATAATGATTTTCTTTGTTGCTGTTCTTTTTCCATTAGATCTCAAAATGTCAAGGGAACTTCTTCAGACTGGAAGGCAGCAGGTCCTGTGCTGGTGCTATTAAAGGGCAAATGAGACAACCTGGTAATTAGAAGCCCATAAGCCTGGCATCAATCCCAGCAAAATAACAGAATAATTTCTACAAGACTCAAATAATGAAGGATTAAAGAAGGGAAACAGAATTAATGCAGTCAATATGACTATTTTTTTTGAAGAAGAAGAGAACCTGCCAAGCTGGCATGGTACCTTGGAAGAGAGTGCAGGAACCAGGTGCTGTTCTGTACTCCCCACTTCCAGACAACAGTCGGGATGGCAATAAAGTTCCCTGAAAATTGAACTTCTCTTAGAAGTGAGACTATACATCAGCATGACAAGAAACACCTGCCCACCAGTTTTACTGGGCATGTAGTGTTTAATTGTGGTTTGTTTTTTTCCAAGAACTATTCCTCTCTCTTTCATTCCTGGCATGCACATGACAAGCTGCTATTAAACGCGATTGTTCCAACTTAATAGCAAAGGGAAGCTGCTGGAAGAAATGTTCCTAAATCTCATTTATGGGAAAGAACTGTAACTGTGGGGCTGCTCTGAAAAAGGCTGAGTTTGAGCTTCATTTCCTCCACATTGAAATGGTCTACTTTTGAAATCATTACCATAAGGAAGTTCTGCTGCTCTGCAAAGCCCACGATGCAAATTCTTGCAACTGGCACAAGTTTGTGATGTTTCTCAGCTGATGTTCTTTCAGCCATCCCAGTAGACCTAATTTAATTTCTAATCATTTCACCATGCTTAACACATTTTTCTAAATTACTTCTGCATTTGTACTCAGAGGGAGTACTGGCTGATTTTTGCTTGTGAAGCTTTCCTCTTTCATTCCCATTGTTTCCTATGCAAAGGGGATGCAGCAAACGGCACAGAGCAATCCTGTCATCAGCTGCTTTCACTCCACGCCGTATTTCAATAATAATATGGCACATACTGTGCATTTCAGAGATTTCATAATCCCAGCTCCAACCTCTATCACATTACACAGAGGAGCACTGAACCTCTTTCTGGGTGCAGGGCAGTTTTTGAGACAGCCCAGCAAAATATGGGAGTGCCCAAGTTCACAGTGTCCATTTTATGCCTATTTAATTATATTTTCCTCTTTTTTAGAGTAAAAGAATGGTGTATTTAAATCCTTAACCATTATTATTCACACTGTGCCATAAGCAAATAGGAAAACAGTCAGAAGGTATGAAATAGCTATAAATTACTATGGTGTTTTGCCAGACACGTGGCCTAAGTTTTCATAATTTCACCTCAGAAAATTTGTAAGATGCTTCTGTTTATATTATTTTATTGCTTCCAACTTTGGTAATCCTTTTGTTACTCTTGTGACAATTCTTTTCTTAATTTTTGTTCTCCTTTGAATGCTCAAGGAAATTTTTGCTCAAAAAAAATCGTCATATATTAAAGCAGCTGTGTCACAGATTGAATTTACTTCCTGAAGTATTTCTCAGGAAGATCTTTAAGGATTTGTGACAGGTGTGGTTACCTTCTCTTCAAAACCACTAAAAAGATGCAAAATTTCTTTCATTTTTTAGAACTTCACTTAATGCCCTCCCCATAATTTTCTTCCAATTTGGAGATGTGCACAGCTCAAATTCAATACCGAGTTGTCATGACAGACTCAAGAGAGCTGTTTTTGATGACTTACTCATACAAAGCACATCTTTCTGAAGTCTTTCCGCCAAGTGGTTTTCCTGGAGGGCATTTAGAACAACTCACAGGTGGCTCTTCACCAGCTCATGTTGCACTGACTGAATTCACTGGTCTTCCAACTAATGAAATCACACTAAAATTCCAAATTGTGGTCCCCTTTTTACACCTTATTTTGAAAACTTCACTGCTCCTAAACTCGCCAATTTCAATCTCAATCCTCCTCTTGTTTAATGTACCTCCATCTTTAAATTTTATGTTCTCAAGCCCTTGAGGAGCTACACAACTGTTCTCCCTCTGTACTCAGAGTGTAAATCCGTTCTCTCCAAATATTGCATCTGGTTTTGCCTCCTCCTCTTTTCCTCTCTCAAAAGGGAAATAGAAAAGGAAGCATAACCTTTTCACACAGTGTTTAGTTATCTAGAGCAGTGTCCCTAAAGTCTCGCTCCCTCATTCTTTTCTAGTTTTCATATTTCAAAAGCTAACTTTTTGCCTCCTCTTCTGCTCGTCCCTCAAACTCTTTTCCATCTTACCACAGCTTCCACTAAAAACAATGAAATTAAAACGCCTCTCAAATATTAGAAATATTTCCTAATCCTTCCTACTCTGGAACTACTCTTACTCAGTGCATTCTGTTCCGTACTATCACATTTATACAGTGACTATATCTATATATACATAAAGAAAGTTATACCTTGTGGTTTATAATGACATTCATTAAAAAGCCCCATTTGTGAATGAATGATATGATGCATAAATTTCAGTGTATCATCTGTGCAATGCCAAGAGTTCTTAATCAATACAACAGAGATCTAAAGCATATCAATAGTTGATTTAAAACTGCATCCACTCCCAGAGAACATTAATTATATTCTCAGAGCTCATTTATAGTGAGCTTTTAATTAGAGAGGATGTCCTCACATCTTAATTCATAGCAGCAAAGAAACGATGAGATGGGAGGTAATTCTTAAAATAACATGCTTTAATGTAGATTTCTTTTTCTTTTATTATACCAGAACTGTAAAGACTCCTTGCTGAAAGTCACTTGTGGCAACATACATGTATAAGAAAGGAGGATTCTATTTCCTCTGCCATCAGTAAGGATGTATATGAGAAATCCCTCTAATGGATGCCTCCCCTAAAATTTAGAAAGAGGTAAACAGAAGGATCTTTATTGCTGTGAAGAGCTAAATGCATTGTATGAGTATCTCACACTGGGAGAAGACTGCCCAGTTTTTCTTTCATTATTTAATTGCTTAAATTAGCCACCTTCCCATACTTTAGGAAAATGATACACAGCATAATCCTTTACAAAATGTCCACACTCAGGTCTGTGCAAAAGCTTTTGCAGTGCTACCCAGCGTAGTCACTCAGAAGAAAGTCTGACTGCTCGGACAGTAAAATCTGCTTAATAAACCCACCTTTAGTTTTCAATTCAGCAGCTCAGCTTTATTCAATTCTCCCATTCCCAGTATTTCACAGACACACTGCTGTACAACACAATGCTGGGACAGACACGTGGCATTTGTCATGTCAGGAGTCAACAGGAACTTGATCTAATTACCTGCTTTGCTCTCACTGGCTTTGCACTGAACTTCTTCAACACATTCTGCAGGAAACCAGCCAATGTGTCCCCGGGTGCTGCCTTCCCAGAATCCACCTTCTCCAATGCTCAGAACTAAACAGAGAGAGACACAGGGAGCATTAAACTTCACCTTCTCCCATAAATACAAGATTAGATACACACTCAATAATAACTGAACATCATCTTGGTAAAAGCCCATGTGCAGTAACTCCAATGCTGGTACCCCAAAATGGGCACAAAGTAACCTTTAAATGTGACCTTCCCTGGTCTGCTTTCGTAACCTCTCTCCCAAATATGGTTTTTGTCACAAGTTTTCTTGGCCCTCACGCAATTCTTTCCATTTTCAATTTTCTCACTGATAAATGCATGGCTATACCACAACCAAAACTTTTGTCTTGCCTGTTCAAATGAAGCAAAAGTGCCGATCTCACTGTAAAACTGAATTCACATTGAAATGGATTTTAATAGTACATATTCTGATATCCCATATTTTTCCCACTTTCTGAGGAAACATGCTATTTTATTTAGTGTGCAGCTCCAGAGATTTGCAATGTCAAGGAATATGATTCAAGGGTTTGAGCACACAGCAAACACATGAACCTCCCACAGTGAGATAAACAAGGTAGATGCCTTTTGAAACATTTCAATGATTTTTCTCAATAGAAGATCATGACAAGATGGAGGAGAAGGATTTATCATCAGGAGAAAAAGCTTTATCCTGTAGTTCTAATTATCTTGATATTAATTCTAGGACTCAACAAGGACAAAAGCCTGCAGAACAATAAGGCATGTTTTTACTGATAAGCCATTGGAGGTGAATTATGGTAATGAAAGGACTCTAAATACTTGCCAGGTATTATGTTTAAATTAATATTACAGCAGTTTCCTACAAACCACTGTATATTTACTATATACTAGAAGAATACACATGCACTGTTAAAAAGATACTTTTTAATATTTTAAAGCAGCCCAATATTTGAAGCAGCCCAGTTCCATTCTCTGAGTGCCAGCTAAGCCCAAACTGCCCCTGATGAAAATCAAGACTAATGAGCCCAAGCACACCTTTGCTAACGTGTGCACATGGTTTCCAAGACCTGCAATAATGTCTCTGCAGGGTATTTCAACACAGGAGGGGTAATTAAGCTGATCAGAGCTACTTTGATAATCTCCACCACCAGCACTTTTTGCTCTTTAAAATCCTGGTCCCTGCCCGCCTGTGATTGAACTCGGTGTCAGTGGAACTGCTGTGACTCAGTGGCACTGAGTCTGAACTTAATTTGCACTATTGCAGGGCAAGATGGAAACCAAATAAATGGTAGCCCAACAAAAATAGTAAAAAAAATTATAGTAACATTAAAAAGGAGGTAAGAAATCTGTTTTGAGACACCAGAACCTCTAAAGGTGCATTTGAAAGGTTTGTTTCATCAATGCAATCTCAAACTATTTGGGGTGTTACTTACAGAGCACAGATATCTATTAACATGAATATTTGACAGCAAAATGTTTATAAATATGTCAGTTTTAAGCCTTTTAATGTGGTGTATTCCAAGAGACAGATTTCATGAAATGCACATTTACACACCACTCTCAGTAAGAAGTCCCAGGAAACATCCATTAAGGAAAAATCCTACACCTGGGTAGGTCCCAAATGCAATTTCTGAAACACTTTCCTGACATATATGGGGAAACCTATAACTACCCAGGGAGTGATGGGATAATGGGGGAGAGCACAAGCCTTGGATGACTCAAACAACAACTCTACACTGAATATTAAGCTGAATAAAAAAATTTTAGCAAGCCTTTTTTTTTTGTTTCCCTAACACCCGTAGACATTGTTATGAAAAGCAGAAAATATTTCAACTCTACACTTAAATGCAAGCAAAAATGAAGAAACCACGTTATAAAATATATATTTATATAAAAATATATATTATTTATTTTATTATAAATTATATATGTATTATATATAGCATATAATATAAAAATATTGATACATACTAGTTATTTAGTGATCTATTGTTTATTTTAATAAAAATCTGATATGGGGCATAATTAATGAAAAATATGTTGATCTAATTCTTAAAAATGTTTAAAACCTGTGCACATCAACACACAATCTGATAATTCAGTTACATAAAATAGAAGCCTGATCATTCTTCCAATATATATCCAAAATATGCAGAACAGTCAGCAGCTTCCAATATATTTTTAACAATGTAACCTCTGTTTACATCAGAATGCACTTCTTATATATGACATAAAGAACTAGGAAAACTTAATAACATATGCATATATCTGGAATTATGGTAGGATGCTACTGTACACTGATTTACCTTCAATCATAAAAGAGAGTGTAGGACTCCAACCAAAAGAAATATAAAAATGCTAGACAGTAAAAGATTCCTACTGCCAGTAATTAGGTTTTTGCTGCCTTTTTTTTTTGTTTTTTTTTTTTTGGGTTTTTTTTGAGGGGAGTTTTCAGCACTGAATCTCAGTCCTGATTTCACACCACAAACTGGGAAGATGATCAGAGCAAAAACTGAGAGACTGAGGCACATTTCCCTAATTTGGCATTTTAATAATCTGTCAGATTTGTTATTCTGATGCTCCAAACAGCATGGATATTCCTGTCTCTAAAAAGAGAGATGCACTGTGAGGAGGCCATGGAGTATTTCACACACATGGAGTAACAGGCAGTGGCAGCAGATCCAAATCAACACAGGAGAAGAAATTTGCTTTCTATCTGGGAGTGAGTGCAAGGCAAAAAGTGATCACCCCAGAGCAGAACCAGACCCACTTTAGACCATTATTGCATGAAATATTAAATATCAGCCATTACTAAGAGCAAGAGCAAAGGGAAAATATATGTAGTCCTGCCTGAAGATGTAACATCCATGGGAAAAAAGTGGAAGGGGAAACGAGGTGTTGCTGGAATGCAGTCACCCTTCACCACTCTGCTTCCAGTCAGTCTAAAGGATTACAATCTACCAGAAAAGGGCTCTGGACTTACCAAGGAAAAACATCATTATGGGGGCCAAGAAAAGAAGAGAAAGGCTGATGGAACTGCAAGAGGCACAAGGATGACACAAGAGAGATGAGGGATACTCAGGGGTACAAAGAGACAAATTGTTGGTGAGGTAAAGGATAAGCTCATAGTACTCAAAATGTAGAAGCTGAGATCTAGGTGGTTCTGCACTACTAAGAAAACTTGAAATAATCTTCAGATATCTCAGATATCAGACTATTGAATTAATCTTCTTCAGATGTGCCATTTATAAGAAATTCTGCAGCAAAAGCCAAGGCCAGAATAATCTAAATATAAAAACTCTCAACACTTTAGATACTCCAAGGTGGGTAACTGTAACTTAGAGGATAAGTAAAATTGTAATTTATCTTTTGTACCCATTAATGCTTTTTTTAGAATGAGGCTTCAATTTCTGTCTTCCATTTCCCAATATTGCTTAAGAGGCTCATTGTAACAGATAATTGGTTACCAGCAAGAGATTTTGTAATCAACATTTTCCCTTCTGAAGGACAGAACAATGGTAAATCAGAGGATAACTTTCCTAAAATTAATAATTAAGCGTTAGCATTTCAAGAAGTTTTTCCTTTTCTTTTAGTAAAAACAAATGATGTGATTGCTATGGCAAGAAGAGGTCAGAGTGTCTTTATATACAACATAATTTATAAATTATGAATAGAAGATGATGTTTTAACAGTAAAATTAACGTTCTAGTAACATCGTGAATCCTGGTATGTCTTTTCACAACAAGAATTATGTTCAACTCTGTGAACAAAACTTTGAATCAAAAGTGGAAAAATACTAAACAATGGAATAACAGGAAAACATGGATCCAGTCAGGATCTGATAATTTAATGTTTTTAAAGTATTATAATTTTTTAAAAGTATTTAAAGTATTATACTTAAAATCAGCCAGATTCTGCTTTGCCAAAGTCTAGAGAAATATACAAGAAAATTATATACGTATTTTACAATATTAGATACTAAAAAATTATAGAACAGAACATAGAATGTTTTGTCTTTTGCAACTTTTGTGAGTGCATTGGCAATGTATATATTGTAATTGGTATTAATATAACATACTAATCTCAAACTGCTTAATTAATATACTATAAAAACCACTTTAATCAAAAGAACATAGAGGTTGTATTCTTCCACATTATACCTCCCTTCATGATGCTACAATAAAGAAATATTGTTTCCCATTAAATTATGGTGACTACTATTTCTAAATTCCTTGAGATACTGAAATGTCAATGAGAGGATTATTCCAGGCAGCCTTACTTGCAAAAATGTCAATGAAATTTACAGCCAAATTCAGCCCAATGTTTTACAGCTGCTACAGGATGTACCTGAAATGTCTTTGTAACATCTAAATCAATTTTTGGTGCTCCTATAAACTTAATTTTTCTTTCCTGGGAAAATAAATTATTATATGGATTGGGAATGAGAGATCATGTTCTGGAAAAAAAGAACATTTCTACAACGAGGAGAAAAAAAGGACAAATTACCAAAATGACAGCAAAGTGTCCCTCCATTCAAACTGCAGCATGAAATGGTATTTACCTTCATCCCATTGTTCTGCTATTCATAAAAAATGCCATTTACCTATTGAAATACAAAGGGATTTCACCTGAATTTTAGCTAAGCAAGGGTTCAGTGTAAATCTGAACTCTGGTTATGTGTCTTGACATAACCATCTTCTAGATTTGTTTTTTTAAACTAAAGTAAGTTTTTAATTTCCAGTGGACACAAACCTAAGTTCTTTACCTCAGAATAATTAGTATAATAACTTGGGCTTTCCTCTTGTTGAAATCTCTGCTGTGTGATATAATTTTCAAAATTATTTGACTTTGGAAGGAGAGCTTTCAAATGACAATTGTTGCAAGAATACTTATTTCAATGATAAAACCAATTTTGCTTGTAACAGCCCCTGAAGTATCTACAACTTAAAAACATATGCTCCTCACCTTGAGTTGTAATGACAACTTATTTCCTAAGTATAGGTAGAAATTTAAACAAAAAATCAGCGTGGGATCTGGTTTTGCTGTATTTACTACCAGGTAAATCA